ATAAATATATGTACTTCGTCCTTTATTATAACCATAATAAATTTGAATTAGAAGTTATTCCTGAAATCGAAAATCTTTTTACATTCAGTAAGACCACAGTACACGTCACAAATATATAAATCTTGAGTAAAGGTAAACATATAAATCTTGACACTGGTTAAATGCACAAACCGTGCAAAGCTAATATTCAAAAGAAACATACAAACTCTATGTCAAAAGAAACAATTTGGCCACAGAGTACATGTACGCGTGTAGCAAATACTCGTTTGTGTGTTTCAAATGCATAGTAGTGTGTGTTACGTTTTATTTATCGATTTAATGTACTTTATAAGCATTATTATTGAAAAATATTAGCCATTTGTACTTCTCCTACATATAAACTATAAGTGTGCCAAACTTCATACTACTCCGTCCTCGTAATTTTCGTGAAAAAGGGTCCAAAGTTTTTGCTTCACTTATTTTATTATATAAAGAAGATTATACAGGTGTAAAGTCAACCTACAATGACCACAGGAAGTTTATTTCAACGTAAAACTTTAGTTTTTGTACACAAATGAAAAGTAAACATTGGTTTTAACCGAATTGCTGTTGTAAAAACATTTTAATGTCACGGTGCAAATAAAGATTTTGTACATAACCAAATGGCATTCGAATAAACACGGGGCGCCAAGTAATTACATGATAAATTAAAGAGGTTTAGGAAACCTCATCACTTTTTTCACATCCTAAATTCATCAGTTGATTGAGTAGTTTTTTTAAAGTGAAGATTTGTTTTTTATTACAAGTGACTTCTTAAATTCATTTAATTATATGTTTCTATTTTAAGAGCTTTCAACCTCAAAAGGAAAAAAGCGATACCCCTATAGGATTACTCACTTGTCTGTCAGTCCGTTTGTCACACCTAAACTACCAGTAGAATTGGATTTCGGTGTCGAGCAACGTAAATTAAAGATTTTTTATTTATTTTGAAAAGAAAAGTATAAAATTATAAACAAAGTTTTCTGAATTGTGTGGAGAAACATACCAATTGAAATGTCTTATTGTGAGAATTCTATTATATATTTTTTATAGTTTTAATATGTGTTTTTATTAGTTTTGTATCGGTAATATCGCTTTTAACTAATTACAATTTTAACAGACCTTTTCATTATAAGTATAGAATACAATAAAACCATGTGGTTTTTAAAACCATGGTGCATGTGCACAACTGTGAACTTATGGATGAGTTTTTAGAGTTCCATATACAAAGTGTTAAAACGGGACCCTATTACTAAGACTACTTAATATTTTTTTTAACATAATGCATTTCTGTTTCCTCTGTAACAACAAATCCTAAAAAAACAAAATAAAATAGATATTTAAGGGGCTCCCGTTCCCTTACAAGAAACGTGATTTTTTTTTACTCGTTTCCAGAATGGAATCCTACGAGCACGAATATTCAATATTGGTCAAAAAAATGTTATCATTTTTTAGATCCCAAACAGTAGCTATTGTGTTATGGAAATCTAAAATAACGAAAGTATAATAACATGGACTTAAATATCGTCGAAAAACTTTCCTTACTTTTCATCTCCTAATGATTTTATAGTCGATTCAATAGTTGAGTGTTTTGCACGAGCTGGTTTTATGCCATCTATCTTTGAGGTGGCGAGTGCGATTCCCGGTCGGGAATGAATTTTTTTTTTTTTTATAGATTTGTGTGTTTATTTTGGTATCAGAGCAATGTATGTGATGTTATTTAATTATTTTTTTATAATAGTATAAATACAGCTCTGTCACCGTTACAAGTTCAATGAAATAAATTGTAATAAGTCATTGCGCTATACTACTAAATACTACAAAGTTGCATCTGAGGTTCGATCAAGTAGAAATCCCATCACAAAAAACCCCAAGTTATGCTTTGTTCCACGTTCTTGTTCCGGCAATCTATCTTTTGAACCGTAACAGGTAGATACTTGATCTTTTTTTATTATTTGTTTTAAATACAAATCTTGGCCCAACTAAAACTTTTTATATAGTTTTTATGTAGTGTGGACACGGAGTCTTAATTTGCAAAGAAACTATAATATGAATTTCATCATCCGAATAATTTATGGCGTTCCTCAACAGCCTGTTGTTCTTCCCATTGTTAGGGCCCAGGTCGTCCCACCACATGGGCTCAATGCGCAATGGGTGGATTGACACCCATCTTAATTAAATATTTGGTCACCCATCTTATAACCAGATGTGCGAAAGTTGTTTAACGAACGTCCTAACCAACGTGCCAATACAAACGACTTCAATTGGTGAACAGCAGTTACTTTAACTTAACTTACTCAGGGTAAGTAACCCAGACATATTTAAGTAAGAGCAATAGGTTCCTTATTGCAAGGTCGTCCCACCTTAAATAATATTCATGTTCTTAGACTAGATTGAGATCAGGATTGAGCCTATTTAAATAAAAAAATATTAATATAACTTTTCGCACTATTCGTGCCGCCTGATGCCAGGACGGGATCTAAGAGGGGGCGCCATAATCATCACGTATTTTTTAGCGTAACGAGCCCCCCTCTTCAACTTTATTGCCTGTTATCTAAGCCATTTCTTATTGAATTGAAGCAAAAAAAAAAAAAATACATATCTAATATTTTTCCATTATTTGACTGACGGGCTAAATAGGATTTCTTTTTTATTTACCCAGGCGTCATCCCTATTTTTACCTTTCCTTGGGCCCCACACTTATTTTGATAAAGGGCTCCGTCACAAAATGTATGCGCGGCAACCCGGTCGTAGTCGTTAGACCGTATATAATAAGACAAAATTAATAATATTCCTCATGGTTAAAGTAAATAACGAGTTGACATCTAAAGTACTGTCTGTGTCTTTTGAAATTTTTTTATTACCTTTACCACCTCATCTTTCTATCAAATGCGTTTATTATTTTTTTCCTTTTTAATATTTTGACGAATCCATGACCATATTTTTTATCAAAAAAGAAAACGAATTTATGCCATACACACTTAAACTATGGGTTTAATATTATAGCGGAGATTAGACAGTATATTTTTAAATTCAACGTTGTACGAGTAATAAAGTTAGCCATAAATATATATATATATATATATATATATATATATATATATATATATATATATATATATATATATATATATATATATATATATATATATTAAAACCATTTTGATGATAGCTATTTATACTTAAATATACAATGGTGAAGTTTTTAACTTTGTTTGGGTTTATCTTCTTCTTTGGGTTAATTTTGTAGGGGTTAATCTTCAGAAATACTGATATGAACATGTAATTTCTTTCACCTACCGTGATCTAAATCATATGCAGGTGACAAACGCTATGATTTACTCAGCTAAGTCACGGGAAAACCGCTAGTCGACAATAAAATTAACAAAAGTAAAAACAAATTTAAATATAAACATTTATCTGAAGAGCAAAGCTTTCGTTGATAGTTGTATTTATGCGTAAATAAGTGAAGTACAAGAACCACATGATAAGGCCTTCCACTGCGGATACAAATGACAAAAGCTAAAGAATTTATCATTAACTATTTTACGTTTTCAAGCTAGTATTTCATACGACATCTACATAAACATTCGCGATATTCGACAAAGCACAAACCAATGAATCGTCACGCTCATCAAAGAAAACAGAAAGGTCATTGCCTTTGGTTTTTCTCGATCGTTTTTGCAACCAGTCGCAAGTCTTGCCCTCATCAGAAGACGAGCGCATTTCAACAGTCGGCCTTGAGCCATAGAAATGCGGACAAAGGCAACGTTTAAAAGCACACCAAAAATTTATAAACGAAAATAACACAATACGTTGTTTCAAAGTTTTTTATTTGTAGTGATATGATGAATAGGAAATAAATTAGTTATCAATGAGTAAAAGAAACAGCTTGAAAATATTGAACTTAAACATATTTATAAGTATTGACCTACACAATATTTTTAATGTAAAATAAAATGTTCAAAACTATCAATAAATCTTTCCCTGTCAATATAATCTCCGAAGTAGCTATGCTTTATATTTTATGCAAAAACGCCGCGTTTCAAACGTATCACTATGGGAGCTCTTGCTGGAAATGAAGATTTCACGCGACTGTCTCCCCGCTAGAGTTTTACGTATAATTTGTATGGATGTGACATTTTTTATTGCATCAAATTTTTGTTATTACTTTTCGATATGTTTCTTATTTATTGAGTTTGTATTTTATAATATAAACATTGACAATAGCTTACATTGTGAAAGATATAATCGTATTAACTACACATGACGACATGACGAAAATTTAAAAAAAGAATAATATATTTATATTACTTTCATTAAAACAAATCTTGAACATGTTAAAAGTACATCATAGCATAAAGTTATTTTTTTTTCAAACTACTGAAGAGTGATTAACGTCGAAATATCTCACAAGTAATATTTATCCTAATCAACAAATTAATCGATTAACTAATAATTTATCTACTTACTTATCTTAAACATTATAATGAAAAGCAACTTCATAGTCTAATGAAGTCTTTTTAAATTAAAAGCAAAGGAATAAGAGCCCTTGCTGATTTTGTTTCATTTCTTCTTAATAAAATATCTCCCATTGTAAATTTACAAACCGATTCAAATGTAACAGTATATAGACATGTAGACTAAAAACATGAAAATTAATAAAATGTAAATACTAACTTCCTTGTTTAGTATCTCAACCCATTTATATAGTTTCATATCCACACTAATTCAAAGAAAAGGTTTATTATTTTAACTCTCTGTTAAACAAATCATCTGATTCGCGAAGTGCTATAAAAAGTTGCTTTTACGAACTTATTGATACGAAGCGTATCCATTCCATTCTTTCATCGCGACCACCGCCCATAGTTTATAGGATCATTTTACAAACAATATAAATAATAGTGGTTGTACGAGCGCGATCAGTCTGTCGTGCGCCGGCGCACAATTTACACCTCCCTTGGAAAAAAAGTTATGAAACGATGGCCTTCTTCGTGTACTCAGTAATTTTTCTGTGCCTTGTTTCTGTAAACGCGCTTAGTATAGAAAAAGTGAGTGGACGCAATAATGTGACGAAACGTCAAGCCGAATTTTTCCCTGACTGGGTGCCGTTCAAAAACAAACATGGTGATGAATTGGGAGAGTTTGTTAGTGTGCCCAAAACGAAATTGAAGAAGCGATTGGCTCCACCAGTGAATTTCATCCTCAGAGCTGTAGCTGAACCTGAAGGTGACGATTATTACGACAAGGGTCAAGGAGAAAGTGATAGTGATGATTATTATGAGAAAAAAGAGTGGTCAGATACAAATCGACCTGCCGAAGCAGTCGAAGGTGATAAATCGCTAAATCATACGGATATATCTGACATCGATGGAGTTGTGAATATAATAACTACAAAACCCGATATTGATGTAAGCAAGATCCATATACCACATTACAATAATAACAATAATAATACGACTACTGAAAAGAATGAACCCAAGGATTCATCGTCAGATGAAGTAAAAGACAAAGAAACCAAGTCAGTTGAAGTTGAAAACAATGAATCTGGTGAGAATAAGTCCACAGATAAGAAATCTGATAAAAAATATGAAGAAGATGCTGAATATGAAGAACCAGATGTTGAAAAACAAAAACCTGAAATATCTGATGAAGAACAAAGTGAAAACGATGCAAAGAAAGCCAAAATACTGGACAGTGTTGATGAACTTAAAGAAAGACACGCCGAAGAACAACGAGCGATATCAGAAAAAGTCAAAGAGGAAGAAATATTTAGAGAAGAACAAGAACGCAATAATTTAGCACATAATCCAGAAGTTGGTAAATATGATAATCATGCTGGTCATAAGAAAATGTCTGACTATGATGAATATGAAGATAAGGAAGAATCTGTTCATGATAAATATAAAATAAATTCTTTAAAAAACGCAGCGACAACGACTCGCCAACCGAAAAAACCAAAGAAGCTGAAAAACAAAGACAAAAAAGAAGCGGTAGGCAAATTATCTGTATTCAAAAATCCACAACTTTACATGATATATGATGACGAAATTGCTAATGAAACCCCTACAACTAAAACGCCTACGACTCAAATGTCTACATCCAAAAATCCTACAACGACATCGAAGCACTCTAGATTCTCGTCACGTTATGCAACTACTACCGTGATACCTGACATTGAAGAAAACGTCCGCATATCATTAGTACCTCAAGACGAAGGCAAAGAAGGTGAACCAACTCTCTTTTTCCCTAAAACCCGAAAGAACAAGCGAAGACGCAAAAATAAGAAAACAACTCCTGAACCCGACTCATATGTAGCTGAGACAGTAAAAGATAAAGGTCTAACAACCGCTCCAGAATTCCCAACAACTGCAACTGGTCCTGATAATACCGCAACAGGGTCTGACATCACAGGAACAGGGCTTGATACAACAGGAGCAGATACGGTTACAACTGCTCAAGAATCTGCGCCTACAGCAGTAAGTGACGCGGTGCCAGCTTCAAGTGATCACAAGGGCCATGGAAGTAAAAACGGAAATTACAAAAAAGGTAAGTCTGATAAAACCAATACTTTAACTACTTAATAAATTAATAAGAGTTTAAATAGAAAGCGAATTTAATGCTGTATTTATATATCTTTGGATTTTCGGTAATTTTTATTTACTATTAAAAATTATCACGAGAAATCAAAGATTACCTATTTAAAACTTTGTTATTTAAATTTGAAATACATTCTAAACACAAGCTATATGAGTGTCAGGTTTTTGGCAATTTAAATTAAAGAAAGCAGTTTGCGTACGATCTTATTGCATAACAAAGGATGTTATGTTTAAAACAACAGTTATTCCAATCCTAACAAAAGAAAATATTTTATACTTTATAGTTTCTCTAAATTGAATGATTTTTTAAAAGAAATGCTTAAAGGGCGGGTTTTTAACCTACCTCTTTTTCGTCTTTTCGTAATTTGGTTACATATTATTCAATAATCAAGTACATAATATACATTTATATAGCATCAAATATTTTCTGGCGACTTGGCGACTTTCGTATATTATAGCCTATGACCCGCGTATGATGTAGCTTGTCGTAGGTGAAATAATTTTTAAAATCGACCCAGCAATTTTGAAGCCTATTCAATGGAAATAGTGATTCTTTTCCTCTTTCTAATATTAGAATCATTTTATATATTTACAATTATCGTTAAGGATATTATTGTAAAATATCTAGGCTCGTTGTTTAGATTTTACCTATTAGAGTAGTAAACGTTTCTATACAAAATTCCTGATAATAAAATCTGATCAAATCATTAAATGAAATAAAGGCACAAAAGAAATTTTCCGTTGGAAAAGTCAAGTAGGTATATCCAAGCGGAGATAATTGAATAAGCTTTACTAGGTAAAAGAAATGTCTTAATAATGTTTTCTCTCGTTAAATATTGTACACTTGAAATTTTTTCTTACTAAATTAACATTTAAAACCTTTTCGGCATCGGAAATTCTTAGATAATTAAATATCCTTTCCAAATAAGATTAGTTGAACCAAGAAGGATCAAAGGGCAGACAATATGAAAATTAAGCAACCTAGGATGATTATAGGCTTTCCCTATGGATGAACTAGAATCAAATTGATTAGGGAGAATGGACCATAACTTACCGTGCAGGCCCAGTGCGGATTGGTGGGTGTTAACGACTGCAGATGCAGCCAAGACCAACAAATAAACGTGCCTTCTGAAACACGAAAGAGTTAATACATTTTTGGTCACCCATTTGATGGCCGGCCGTTGCGAGTTGTCTAGCTACATCGTAACCACTGCGCTATCGAGTTTCAAGAATAGGGATATAAACATTTATAAGATAATCACACAACAATGATGTAGTGGCCCATAATTTTTATCATAGTATGTACCATTATAATTTCAGACGATATAGATGGAAAGGCAAATTACATGCAGCCCAAATATTTTAATGTAGACCCAATCCATACTGTTGGTTTACTTCTTTCTCTCTTTTCCAAGTCATAATGAAGCGTCCGTCCTCAAGGTATGATTTTTTGTATCCAGATAGGAGGGAAGAAATTATCGCAAAATAAAAGTTCTCATCTCCATTTGCGTTTCCCTTTGACTGTGCATGCGAAGCAGCCGACAACGGCTTGTCTAAAATAATTTTATTTATTGCTTAGCGATGTCATTTACTAATATCAGCATATTCAAAACTGATTCTGTATTATAGTGATGTAACGAATGTCACTTTTTTAACAACCACGAAAGCGAATGCTAATACGAATATCTAATACCGATATTCGCGATTGCGAGTGCGAATGCTATTACTCAGTTTTCATTATAATTTGGCGTCAATCATCTACGAATTCATTTTTAATTTTGTACAAACAAATGATTATTGAACATAAAAACCGTTTAAAGTTTTACGTAAAGACCGTTAAAAATACAAATCTGAATTCTAAACTATATTAACCTCGTAAGACCAATATATTTTTTTTAAAACTATATAAATAACTTACTTGACTTTTCATATATAAAAACATATGTTAAGACATTCGAAGATTTCATAAATAAAGGTTTTTCCTAACTCAGCCCCTTGAATGCACTATCTTCACTAATGTCAAATTAGCATAGCAGTTATTTTGTATTTATAAAAAAAATGTATTTCTATTTTACTAACCTAATTAAATTAAAAATCCAAAAATATTAAATATTAATGTTTTGCGAATATTATAAAAAATATTCGCAAAACATTCCGACAAACTTTGCAAATGCGAACACAAATGTTAAAAAAATAATGCGAATGCGTTAGTTCGTTACATCACTAATATATTACATTGACTTAATACTTTACTAAAACAAATGTATTGACTATCATTTTCATATAACGTTTTAACACGTGTCCCGAATGTCTTATAATATTACCCCCCAAAAAGTCAGATAAAGATAAACAATGGTTATTGTATACGACTAAATTAATTTTTAACCGGCTTCAAAAAAGGAAGTCCTCAAATGTCTCTATATTTAATAAGTATGTCCGGCTGTAAATTCGAGGTTTAAGAATCGATTTTGATGTACTTTTCCCATTCGATAGAGTGTAATATTATTAATTGTATTTACCTTTTTTTGTATGGTAACGGATTCGAATCCCACCTCGGGATACTTGAGACCGGTATTTTTTTAAAGTATTTTTCTTCAAATATATTAATCAATATAGCGTTATGAATGCAAAACTAATCAAATATTACAAAGCAAAACTTATTCTCTCAAGAGTATCCCTCGGCTAACGTAATAGCTACCCTTCACTGCCCACATAGAAAATTGTCCCTTCGCAATAGGATCTCGTTCTAAGTTATGGAATAAAAATATAAGACAGCATGCATAACTAAACGGGAGGACCCTGTTTTTATTTTAAATGGTATAAAAAGTTTATATGTATATAACAGTTATTGCTACAATTTATGCTGGCAATCAATTACATCAATAGTAATATTATTCAGAGGAAACATTTCATTGTTTTTATTTGTTTGTAATGAATAAACTGCGTAAGTACTGCACCGATTTAAAAAATTCTTTCGCTTACCAGTAACAATATTATACATGGTTGACAAAGGCTAAAATTTTAGCATGCAAAGTCGCGGGAAACAGCTACTGATAAGTAAACTTGAAAAGTTTGAACGCAGTAATTAGCGCGTTCGATTTGCAGTGCGGGAGGTTAAGCAAATGTTGTTAAGGTCAGATATAGGATGGGCAGTCAATAATTCATTATCCTAAGCTCCTATGTGCTTAGGAAGGCATGTTAGGCCGGTTCCAGCTGCATCTGTCGTTAACAGCTCTCAATCTGCATTGTGCCTGCATGTTTGGTAATAGCCCATTTTCCCCATTTAATTCAATTCCAACCGTAGAGATTGCTTGGACATTAATAGCCTGATTGTGATGAATGAGTTGATTGTGTTGTTGTAGTTGAGGAAGTAGTGAAGAATGCCAACGACATTACATACACATATGTCGAACTGATAATCTTCTTTTTTGGGGTCAGTTCTTCATTAAGTATTTTTCTACTCACCTCGCAAAAGGGTGAAGATATAGAATTAAACATAGTGCCTTAAATATTAAATAAGCAGAAATCTCGCATAGTTTACTTCACTATTTGTTGGTGTTTTCATCCCTAGGGAGTCTATGTGACTGTGAATTATCAGTGTACCAAATTTAAACAGGATTTATTCAGTATGTGCAATAGTAATATGCGTATTCACAAAATTTCACATTTATAATATAGTAGGATAAAAACCATACTCGAAATTATGTTAATAAATAAAAAAAACATAGCCAAGTTAATCCCATAAAATATCAAATATATATGTTTTACGGTATATTTCCATGGATTTCTGGTTAACAAATTTCATAAAACTAACTTTCACATTCATGCTATCAACACGAATTATCAATTTCCGATGCATAACTAATGACAATCGTATTCTAAACAAAATTGTAAAATCATATTAAGTGAACAATGCACTCATTAGTTCCGGTGCAAGATTCGATTCTCTGCTAGTTTACGAGGGGTTGACGAAACATTTACAATATTAAATTTATAGAAACTTCAAGGGCTCATAGTGATTAAAAACGAATCATAAATAAAAAAGCAATTAATCGATGAACAAAAAAAAAGCAAATACAACAAGCGCGAGACTCATAAATGCGTAAAAACACACTTCGCTATAGTATTTTAATTTATTGCAATTATTTATGCTTGATTGTGTTGTTTCTTTTAAATAAAACCTTCGTTTCGACGTTAATTGACTTTCTGTTCAGTTCAATTTTATTTCCTTCGATAATGAAACACCCCTTTTTTTTCAAATTCGCTTTTTCAACTTTGATTTGACGGCACGAGGTGGAAGCTAATGATAATTCAAATGCCGTGAAACCGACCAACTTCGTAACCGGTAAACTAACTTAACGACTTACTTTGAGGGTTATGATGTTCTCCCACTCTTTCTAAATTACTTAACGAATTTTTTTATTAAGCTTCCAAAATTATTCTTTTATGTACCTATATATTATATCATTATTATGGTTGTTGTTTCGTAACTTATAAGTATTGAATGTCAAGAAAACAAAAGATTAAGATCTTTTGTTCATGCCTTTTATCGCTCAGTTCTCTAAATAGATTTGTAATTAAGATCCAGGATTAGGAGATGTCATTGTTTTTTCTTTATACTTAAGCATTTTGGACCAGGAATTCTTTATAGAGAAATCGAACGAGTCCAAATTCGATGGATTTTTCATTTATTATATAGCTCCTCTAATTCTAATTCTTCTCAGCTCTAATTTATATAAAACTTTGGCTACCGTATCACGCGACGTCACGTAAAACGTTGTTGGCCATTCATGTATGAAGTCCTAGATTGTTTCACTCAAATCGAGAAGTGGGCAAAATTAAGCTTGCTAGATTTGATCCACAACACGGAAATTGTATTAAAAACTTTCTAAAAAAATATATGCATGTATTATAACCAGCCTCATAAATTTTTCTTTCTACTCAAATGAGAAAAACATTAGACCTTCTACTTAAAATATTAATAG